GAGGGGGGATGAAGAGCCAGCAGGATAAGGATTTCCTTGTCTGTTAACTGGATAAACCATCTCTCTCCATTTCCTGGCCTATTTCCATAATCCTGGACTAAAGTAACTGTGACAGTGAAGTAGCAGTGTCAGGTTTTGTGCCTACAGAGTGGATGAAGGTTGGGAAGAAGAAAACTTTGATGTCCATCCCACTTCAGAAGCAATTATGGAACCATCTTGTGCTTTTGTTGCTCCATCTTTTTTCACTGCTGCTCCCTGGGCCCTTCACTTACAGATGTGGAACTGTCTTGTTAAAAAAGTTGGTGAACTGATCATTAGTGACTGCTCCAAGGAGGACTTAGGACTTGGAATCAGCTGCTGGTTGGGTTCCCACTATCAAAACCTCTACCTAGAGCTTGAAGTGCAACTTCCAATATGTTCCCTTGGTTTTGGTAGATCACAGAACTACATTCTGAACTCTGCATGAGTCTGGGAAGCTTGGATGTACCTGGAATGGGGTGGAAAATGCTGAACTCAGAAGAAAGCAGAGTGAGCTGTCAGAAGGCAGCTGGCTGTGGTGCTGCTGTTGGCATAATGTGCCCTTGTTTCCTTCCTCCCCTGCTCACGTTGCTGCCGCTCTGTTTAAAAAGTTTGCCTGGCTGTTTTTAAATGGCCTTTTAACTGCTTCTCTGTTCTCCTTTGTGGCGTTGCTGTTGTGGTCTTTGTTCTCTGAAATGTTTGAAATATTCCTCTCTGGCAAGCACATTGCAGTTGTCTCTTGATGGCATTTTAGGGACAAAGAAAGAAAAATGTGGGCAGCTAACCTGGATCATGTTTTCTGTGAGATGTGATCTGAGCTTGTCTCTCCTGGTGAGCTTGGAGCTGAGCATGGAAAGGAGCAGTTGGGCTGAGAATGTTTGTCACTGTTGCAGGCTCAGACATAATGTATGGTCTCCTGCAGCCTGGGGGTTCCCCCTCTGCCTGCCCCCACTTCAGCTCTTGGTGGTGCTTGGAAGTGCTTGGTGCTCCACTGCCTGTGTGGTCAGTTTTCAGAGAGGATTCTGGCCTTTAAAACACATGACAGGTCCTTTTTGTCCCAGAGCCAGGAACTGCTGCTCAAACAAACAGAAAGCTTCATGTGCTGGGGATTTTCAACCCCCACAAATCCTGACTGGTTCAGTGCTGAGCTCTGGAGTGCTGTTTAGTCCCACTGGGTGGGTGATGAGGGAGGTGAATCTGTGTAATCCCCCCAAAAGAGGCTGTCCCTGCATGGCAGAGGTGGTGGAGCCACAACAGTAACTCAGAAGACAAACCAAAATGATTTATTGGCTCTTCCTAATGAAGAAACATTCCTGCATTGCATCTCCCAGAGGATTTTTTTCACCAAGAAGACAGCACTGTGCACCCCAGCACCACACTCTCCACTGAGGCTGGGCAGGTGGGGCCAGCAGGGAGGAGAGGAGAGCTGGAGAACAGCTTTTAAGGTAGTAGGAACCTTTCCTGGCAGTTGTGCACAGCAGTTGTGAAGAGGAGTGCCCAAAACACACACAAACCATCTGCCAACTGCAGCAGCTGGAGTGAGCCCCAAGACCTGCTTGTGGCTGTGAGCTCAGTTTTGAGTCTTCTGCCAGTTTGATTCAGTTTTTGCTGTAACAATGACAAGTCTTCTTTCTAGTTTGCATAACCAAATCTTTACAGGGCAGAGGAGGTGAGTGAGTGACAGGAAGGGTGATGAGGAGTGGCCAAATCCCCCACAGCTTGAGCTTTGGTGCTGAGTCCTGTGCACTGGGGCTGCTCTCAGTGGAGGTGGCTTAGACCCAGAGGTGTCAGAGAGCTTGGCCAGAGTGGCTTTTCTCATCAGAGGAGGCATTGTCTCTTCAGAAGACTTAAAGCATTTGCCTTTTTTTTTTCTAAGGGATCTTTTATAGGCTGTTTTTGCTCAGTCCTTGCTGTCTGCAGCTAGTCATTGTTAGTCCCACAAGTATTCTAAGTGTACTAAAACGTTTAAATAAGATTCCTTTCCAGCAGCTTCCCCATCTTGTGAAAACCAATAAAAATTTGAACCTTCTGCTTTCATCTTAGGTGCTGTGTGATAAGCTCTGGTTGATTCTGGGTGTGGGAGTCCTTTTCTTTAACTGCTTTCTGCTTGAACTTTGTGTTGCTGGTGGAACAGCCCTTCTGGCTTTGTTGAGAGTTGTCCCCTTTGCTTGGACTGTCAGCTCTGGGCTCCTGTGTCAGCTGCTGCAGCCACAGTGGGGATGTTGGCTGGGGCTTGGGCTTTGCTTGTGTGCTTGCCCTGAACCTCAGCAGTGAGCCAGACTGGGTAATGTGGGTAGGACTGGCACCCACAGCTCTCTAGGAGGTGACCTGGCTCTGCACCACTGCCCCTGGAGGCTACACCCAGTGTGCTGTCTCTGGAGTGTTCTCCACAGGGGAAGGTTTAATACTAGCAAGGGATGAAAGGAGTTTTTTTTCCCCAATAGCTCAGCTCTCCCATGCCTCTCTTCTTGCTTCAGGAATACAGGAGTGCTGAGAGCAACTGTTGGAGCAGCAGCAGCAGCACATCTCCATCCTGGAATGCAAGAGGGAGCTGAAGGAGGAGGGAAAAGCTTTTCCAGCCCCCTCTCTGTGCTTCATGTGTTGTGTAGAGCTGGGTGTTGAAACCAGAGAAGTGCCAGCACAAGGACAGGTAGATAAGAGGGTGGATGAGGGGAAGGTGTTTGTGCTTATTGGGTAGTTGCTGCTCTGAGTTTTGGGCAGGAAGAGGTGCTGTGGGACTGGCAGCCTCCCCACGAGGGGGTGGTGCTGCTCCACACAGCCCTTGGTCATGTCCCTCCTCAGCCACCACAAACTCATCCCCAGAGAGCCAGGGCAGGGCTGTTCCCAGGCAGGACCTGCTGCTGGCACCTCCTGGGCTGGGGGGGTGGGCTGCAGCTGAAAGACAAACCTGGGACCCTGCCCAGGGCCTGTACTGGTATGGGGAGATACATCCTGAGCTGGGCTGTGCCCAACCAACTGGTCCCCAGGCTTCCCAGTGACCATGACCATGGTCTGCTCCCCCCTGCTGACTTTCTTAGGAGGATGGTGGCAGCACAGGCAGAAATCCCATGAGGAAAGCCTCAGTCCTGTCCTGCAACATCACCCACGGATGCTACCCTGTGTGCTTCCTCAGAAACGACCCCTCCTCAGCATCAACTGTGGCTGAAGCCTCTCTCTGCCCAAAGGTGGTTCTGTGCAGAGCCCAGGGCCAGCCCTGCACTGCAGCAGATTCTTCTGAGCTGTTCACTTCTAACCTTGAGCAACCCAAGTGACAGCTCAGAGCTGTGCTGCTGCTGAAGAGGAGTTTGAACCTGGAGTTGCTCTGATCTCTTCATGTCCTACAGCAAATAAACTGGGGTCAGGTATCCCCAGGATCCCCCTTATGGGTACGTGCAGCTTTTAGAGCTCTGTGGCCTTGACCTGGGCTCTGGTGCTTGGAGAACAACCTCCTGGAGGAAACGAGCTGCAGAGGGTTGCCCTGGGAGGAAGGGGGTTGTGGGCAGCTCCCTGTGCTGGCTCCTCTCCTGGTGGGGGGCTTGGGAAGCCCATCCTGTGGGGTGGGGCTGGTAAGAGGGCTCAGGTGCAGAGCAGCTGGTCAAGGGAGACCTTCTGTCCCCCCAGGGGGTTGGAGAGGTTTGGTCTTTGAGGCTGGGAAGTATTAGTGGCTCTGGGTGTGTTTGGTAAAAGGGCATTTTAAAATCAGAGTTGAAAGGGTTATGTATTGGGTTTTTAGCATTCAAACACACAATTTTTGTCCCTGCTGGCTGAGTCTGAGCTTGTCCTTGTGGCTGCAAGAGCTGAAAACCTTTCTGGGAGACAACAGACATCTGCTCCTGATTGATTTTATCATCTGAGGTGTGGGGGAGTCACTATAAGGAGTGTGTGAGCTGGGCTCAGACAAGATCCTGACAGAGATCTCCTCACCTCCTGAAGAGATGAAGGTGAGGAAGAGTTGATAAAGGTGCTCTGTGTGACTGGATAAATAGCTGTGAAGGCTGAAGGTTTATGTGGTTGTTGGGTTTTTGCTCTGTTTCAGAATGGATGTGGAACTTTGTGACTCAGCCACGTGCCTTGGTCACCTCCCAGCACCCAGGCCTGTGCTGAAGAGAAGCCCCAGTGCTGAAATGGGAAATGCAGCTGCTGCCAGAGCAGGAGAAGGAGCCTGTGCCAGTGAATGTTTTAGCTGTGACTTGTTCATCTCCTGCCCCCTCAGCTCTTGGGGGAACTGTGTGTCTCTAGGTAAGTGGAGTAAAGTTTACCTGTTACTGAGAAACCTTTTCCAGCCTCTTCTTCCCCTTTCCTTGTAACATTTTGTCCCTGGAGCAACTTTAGGAATGCATATG